CTTTGTAACAAGTTTCAATTCTTCAGTCTAATTTAGTTTAAGTCTTTTATGTTTTTCTCTCATTAGTATGACGTGAATGTCTATTTTTAGAGTATGTTGATATAAGTAATCGTACAAATGAGTGTATAAAAGTATAATTTTCTGTAGAAATATTATTTAATCTAGATGAAATTACACAAATTATTATGAATATTGTTCAACAATATGTTGTAATAATAGTTTGTTTCTATTCTAAAAAAAGAAACATCTATTATTATCATGATAACCATGAATTTTTTTACTTTGCACCTAGAAAATTATAAATGATTATAATAATTACTGACAAAACAATGTTCAAGATATAATCAAACTTTGTTTTTGACATATTTCTAGATCTAAAATATGCTGATTATATATAATCTAGAAAATTCGACAATATCGGATAGCTTAACGTCAAAAATAATCTGATCATTAATTTGGTTCATTTGAAAAAAAAAGAATTAACTAGAAATACCTGGTATTTTATATCAGGCACACAGACATTTTGTTGATAGATCGTAATAGCCTATTTGTATACATGTTTATAGATTACATAGAATATGGGCACATCTGTTCTGTTGTATCGTTATTATCTGTTTACTGTAACAAAATATTATAATGCCCTACCTCAATTATGTCTGTCAAAGAACATTCTGAATAGGATTTTTATAGAGAAAAAAAAATAGGAATATGAAACAATCATTGATCATTGTTATGCATATCAATTCTTATTAATATGAGTGAAATCTCATCATTCATCTTCTATCAAAGATAATTTCATTAAAAAAAGACACATTTTTGTTTTCTTTCTTTTTTTTTTAAACAAAAAAGAAAAAAAAATCGACCATTAAATACAACAATTACACTTAAAAAATAAAAGGAAACTTAATATTCACTTTCTATTTATAATACAACAGAATAGTTTTAAAAACATAGACACAAACAATAAAGAGATGAAAGAAGAAAAAGAAGAAGAAAAAAATAGTCATAGATTTTGCTTGTTCTTTTCAAATAAGATATTTCACCAGGCGAATAAATTGGGATGCGTTTATTCTACATGAATAACTAGCAATTGGCAAATGCAGGTATTAGCAATTTGTTACGCGTGCATTATCTATAAACACACAACACGGCAAATGAATAACTAACTAAATAAAAAGAAAGTTACAACAAGAAGCTAATGTACATGCTATAAAGTTTTATTTCTTTTTACTCGACTTTAAAATAAAATCTCTCGATGAACTTTCAAGTGATTTATGACGATTTGAATGTGGATATTTATCAATCATAGAAAACAGATGTCCTGTCGAATATCGTTTACCTGTCGATGATGTTCCTTGTCTATGTACAGGTGGTAATGTCGGTTTTAATGATGAAGTGATTTCTGATTCTGTTCGACTTGTATGACGTGATATTTTAGGTGATGTTTGAATATCTAATTCTGATGAACCTTGACTATTGAGCGATGTTTGTTTATTGAGCACTTGTTGTCGTTGTTGTAAGTAATTAGCTACGGCCAATTTGCGTGTTTCAGCAGCAATTTTCAATGTTTCATAAACAGGATCAACAGTAGCTTCATCCACGACTTTTCATAATCAAATATTCATTAAAAAAAAAACAAGGTTTAATAAATATATTTTTACCTTGTTCAGACTCATTATGATTATGTTTTTTCTTTCCTAATGAAAATCGTCGCGCAAACGACTAAAAAAAGAAAACATAGTAATAATTATATGGGATAAATACTAGCATGTTAGAATTTTATTCTGGTTATGACACGCAACTAACTAAATTGCAAGAGATTCTTTGTTTTCATATGTATATACTCATCAATTAAATAAATGAACTACCTCAACCATTTGTGATATAACACTTGAACGTTTTTGTTTTAATATATTTGAATTAGATTTATCGTTGAAAATTGAATAACGACCCATTCTCATACGTTCTTGTTGATTTGGTGACATCTGTTGTTGTTCAAATGAAAATATTGTAAAACGTCTTTGAAGCCATGCTGCAGATGGACGTTTAGGTGGTGGTGTATTTGTTCGTTTAAGTTCATTATTTTCGGTTGATATTTCTAAATGTGTTATTGTTGTTGAAGTTGCATCAGCAGCTGATTTACGTCGAGTATAATCTTGTTTTGAATGTCGAGGTTTTAGTGAATGTGATCGAATACGATTTGATGAAGGTGTTTGAATATGAAGACATTCTTGTTGTTGTATAGGGAGCGAGTCATTCATCATGGCCATTTTTTTTTATTTAACAAAAACTCACTTATAATGTGTATGTGATCAAGCGTAAAAAGCAAAAATACTTATTTGCTATAACGAGAAAAAGGAAAGAGAGAGCAAAAGAAAATAAGAAACTCTATATTTGAATAGAAGATGCCAACAGGAAAGAATCTGAACGGCGGCGACAAGAGACACAATTTTGCTATACACATTTTGCAAGTTGATATATGCGAATGAGGATGAAAAATGAAGAGAGAGAAAAGAACAGAACGAGAGTGAAAAGGGGAATAACATGATAGGCAAAACAAAGATTACCATATTTTCATAAAAAAGAAAACAAAACAATGACTAATGATTCTCTTAGAATGAAGATTGACAAGTAACTTATTGCAAATATGCTGGAGGATGATAAATACTCATTTGTTTAATTACTAAATAGGTGAAAAAAATACTACTATCTTATTCTTTTATTTAAAAAAAACAAAGAGAAAAAAAACAAGAAAATCCTCATTATTTGCTATTATTACTAATGCATACGCACGTTTACTCTTAATCGAGTCTTGTCTATCCGGATGTGATCGAAGTTATTCGAATATCGTTATG